GGCAAAAACGTCATTTGACCTCAGTTGACCTCATTTGACCTGATCCATGGATAAGTACACCAAATAAAGAAACACCAAGTGACATGCTGTTAGCCCGCGCCCCACTGGGGTCTACGTATAACACGCCCTACTGGGGGGGGGGGCTCTCCATAGCCCCCCCCTCTCCTAACTCCGAAACTACTGGGCCGACCCTCAAACGGCGTCTGATAGCCCAGGAAAAACTGTCGAAAGAAACCTAATTTCAATGACTTCGAGGGAACCGATGACGTCACAGGTCAGGTCAAAGTAAAAATTATTAGCATTTTGGCTTGTTCACATTTTGGGCTCTGGCCGCCGTCTTAGAAGTCAGATCAGGCTCATTTTTGGTTTAAACACTCGTGAACATATGTTTTAGATACCCTGAGGGTACCAAACTTTGATTTTCAGGTCAGGGTCAGCCGTCAGGTCATCACAGGTCACGGAAATACTATATTATGCGTCGGTCACGTGACACATGTTTTATGGTCCATTTAGGCCATAGATTTCGAATTTGATGTCATTTGTGTCACTCGAGGTCATTTTGAGGTGAATTTTGCTTAGGTCAGGTCACTTTCAGGTCAAAAAGGTCAAATTTTGAAGTTAATTTTTTTCAACAAAAAAAAGTTTATATGATGCAGTTTGAGCTCAGAAACACGATGGTGCTATTTATATTGGTGTATGATGTCAAAAACGTACTGAAAAATTGATTTGGAAAATTTATAATTGTGAATGTTTTGCAATAATGCGTATAACTTCGCCATTTTTGAAGATATTTAGCTGAAACTTGCTACACTAAGTCATAAGCATGTGTTCTATCACATAAATTCCGTTTTTTTCTCGAAAAGTCAAAAAGTTTTTGAAAAAAAAATAAAAATATAAATTTTGAATTTTATTATATCGACACCTTTTTTTAAACCACACATTTGTTCTCCGGTGACAAGTTGGTTCGAGACCTTCAAAAAAGGTACAATCACTCGATTTTTCTCAAGTTTGTCTGTCTTGGCAGATAAAGCAATACCAGAACAGGCCTACGAACACACGTATTTGATCAGGATCGGACAATTGGACACTTTTAAAAGGAGATCTTTCGTGCCTCTCGGAAATTCACGGGAGAGAAGATGTGGGGTTTAAAAAAAGGTGTCGATATATAAATTTCAAAATTTTCCCAATTTTGAAAATCTGAGATAGCAGTTTGATAGCACAGTCTATTGTGAGTCCCTTCATGCAAAGAAATTGGATCTAGCTTAACCCGGCAGGCGGTGGGCCTACCAGCCACCTTCCACGCGGTGGGGGGGGGGGCACTTTTTTGCCCCCCCCCCCGTATCTCCGAAACTACTGGACGGATCCGGAAAATTCAAACGGCGTTCGATAGCCCTGTCAAATTTGTCAAAGGAAACCAAATTTCATTGACCTCGGGGTCACCGATGACGGCACAGGTCAGGTCAAAGATAAAATGTTTCACCGTTCACAGGGCTTCTAGGGAAAGCGCTATAACACCGAGTAAAACGCATTTTGTCGAAAATCAGCGATAAGGCGTCAGTTGTCTAGTACATATGTTGCTATTAGAGGTCACTGGTCATACCAGGTCAGGTCACAGGTCAGGTCACCAAAGGTCACCAAGGGTCACCACATGAGCCCAACTTTACTAAGGTTATATGATGCATGTTTTATGGCCAGTTTTTCATTTCCAACTCAATGGTGTTGGTTATAAGACCATCAGGTACGGTTTAGGTCACTTTCTGGTGGAGGTCAGGTCAAGGTCAGGTCAAAAAAGGTCAAATTTCAAAGTTGATATTTTTGCATAAAATGGGTATCGATTCGATGCAGCTCGTCACGGGGAGTCTAATTGTGGTCTTTGTTTTGCGCTACGAGGTCTAGAATTGCTAAAAATTGAGTTTGAAAATTTGACGTCATCAATTTTGAACAGTTTTTTTGCTATAACTTGGCCAAAAAACGAGGTATCGATCTCAAATTTGGTATGTAGATAGAAGGCGGTAGGGACTATCACATATATTCCCGTTTTTCGAAATCCAAAAAACTTTTTGGATTTTTTGGCTATTATATTCAAAAAATCTATTTTTTAATTTTTTGGGGTCAAAATCAAAAAAATTTGAAAAACCGAAAGAGCAGTTTTGTAGCCCTTTTGATTTCACACCTTTTATGTTAAAAACATTTTTCTGTATCTCTAAAGCTGTAGGCCTGACAGCTCTTCCCGCGAAACCTTTTTTTGGGTCGAAAATGGCAAAAATGACGTCACTCTTACGTCATTAGCGGCCAACCTATCATAGCCTTTGGAAAAATTTTTGGTCACCATGTGCGCTAGCTGCTCCCGGGAGGGTACTGAAAGTTTGGTGACGATCGGCGCAGCGGTTCTCGAGATATATCGAAAAAAGTAAAGGGGGGGGGGGCAAAAAAAATGCCCCCCCCCACCACCTGGAAGGTTAAAAACTGAGCTCTTGGGAGCGATTGCCGTTGTTCAATGTTTTCCGTCGAAATCGGCCGAACATGACGTCACTCTGACATCATTTTCGGCCGACCTATGGAAGCTACGAAGTTCATATTTTGACACAAGGTGTCAAATTGATGCAGCCGAAGGTACTGAAAATTTGGCGTCGATACGTCAAGCGGTTTGGAAGTTATTGCAGAAAAACGGGAGGAAGCTATGAATAGCCCCCCCCCCCCCAGTGGGGCGCGGGTTAGGTAAGCACTGTGGTTTCTAGAACGAAGCGGATATCTCCAGTATTTTCCGAATTGAATATTTTCCCATGGGTTTAACATTACGACGTAATGACCTCTAACTGACCTCAGGTCAGTGACATAAAAAACGAAATATATGTTATACAACTCGGTAAACTTAGCATATCCTGCAAGTTTGAAGGAATTAAGTAAAAAACTGTGAGTTGGACAGGTGCATAAAGAAAACTGAAATTTGACCATGACCATGTACCGGTTTTTCTGACTTGGTGACCTGACCCAAGGTCAGCCGGACCTGAAATTTTCAGGTAATATGCAAAAAGGTTGCCCCATAAGCTGTGCTAAATTTGGTGGCGCTGCGCGCCGCCGTTTTTACGCTATCTTTGAAAAACCTTGGGGGGGGGGGGGGTTGTATCAACCCCCCTGCCAGGGCGAGGGTTAGTATGATGAAGTTGTGTAACTGCTCTGACCTCAGCTGACCTAAAAACACTATGCATTGTTCTGAAAGATTGTATAGTGAGCTATCTATTACTTTTACTTCCACGTCTTTCTAACGGTGGTTCGGTATAAAACTGGAAAAAAAAGTTTGATTGAGTGTGGCTTGGATTTGATTTGATTGATTGATTGATTGAGTAAATTGAGCATAGATCGAGTTAGCTAATAGCTTTCTCAGTTTTCGAGGTAGCTTGGTGTGGCCAAATATCCCCTCCCCATACAATGACGAAGCGAAATGAGACTCCACCAGGGTGCGGGCTAAGGTTCTATCTAGGTCATTCGTTGATCTTCCGGGTCAGCTCTAGCCTCTAGGTCAAGTAGGTATCTAATTGCAACTGTTCTCTAAAAATAAAAAATGTAAATACCGTCAACTACAGACGCTTCATGTCTAATTACCTATAAGTCGTCTTCTCCTACAGTGGCGCTGGGGATCGGAGAGGGTCTACTTCTGCATACCCTAACCCGCGACCTGGTGGGGGGGGGGGGGCTATTTTTTGCCCCCCCTCCAGACTTTTCGATATATCTCCAGAACCGCTGCGCCGATCGTCACCAAACTTTCTGTACCCTCCCGGACATCAATTTTACACATTATGACCAATTTTTTTTCAAAGGCTATGATAGGTTGGCCGGAAATGACGTCAGAGTGACGTCATGTTCTGCCGTTTTCGACCCAAAAAAAGGTTTTGCGGGAAGAGCTGTCAGGCCTATAGCTTTGCAAATACAAAAAAAAAATGATAAGGACATAAAAGCTGTAGAATTGACAGGGCTACAAAACTGCTATCTCGGGTTTTTGAAATTTTTGGATTTTGACCCCCAAAAATAAAAAATATATGTTTTGGATATAATAGTCGGAAAATCCAAAAAGTTTTTTGAATTTCGCAAAAACAGGAATATGTGTGATAGTCCTTACCGCCTTCCATCCACATACCAAATTTGAGATTGATGCCTCTTTTTTTTGGCGAAGTTATAGCGAAAAAACTGTTCAAAATTGATGACGTCAAATTTTCAAACTCAATTTTTAGCAATTCTAGCTGGTAGCGCAAAACAAAGACCACCATTAGACTCCTCGTGACGAGGTGCATCGAATCGATACCTACCCATTTTATGTAAAACTATCAACTTTAAAATTTGACCTTTTTTGACCTGACCTTGACCTGACCTTGACCTGACCTTCACCAGAAAGTGACCTAAGCCGTACCTGATAGTCTTATAACCAACACCATTGAGTTGGAAATGAAAAATTGGCCATAAAACATGCATCACACAACCTTAGTAAAGTTGGGTTCATGTGACCTGACCTGTGACCCTTGGTGACCTGACCTGTGACCTGACCTGGTATTGTCAGTGACCTCTAATAGCAACATATCTACTAGGCAACTGACGCCCTATCGCTGATTCTCGACAAAATGCGTTTTCCTCGGTGTTATAGCGCATTCCCTAGAAGACCCGTGAACGGTGAAACATTTCATCTTTGACCTGACCTGTGATGTCATCGGTGACCCCGAGGTGAATGAAATTTGTTTTCCTTCGACAAATTTGACAGGCCTTTCGAACGCCGTTTAAATTGCGGATCCGTTCAGTAGTTTCGGAGATACGAGGGGGGGGGGCAAAAAATAGCCCTCCCCACCAGGTCGCGTTATAAACAGACCCCACCAGGGCGCGGGCTAAAGTCTCAGTGGAGGCTGAATCGTGGCTGACTCTCATAAAATGTTCCATCACATTACCGTCTGAGTTGTTCCATGGTAGGTAAGCCTTATGTAAGCACGGATAACGAGTAACAACTATAATAAACATTTGCTTTATTTTTCATTTATTTCATTATATTTTTTTTCGGAACAAATAAACAACAGTCTCAACACACGACAACACAACAAACGTTCCCGTTTTAGCCGACCCCAGCCTAACGACGTCTGGCAGGTAGTATAGAAACCCTGGTCTGTTATCAGCAGCGCCCTCTTCAGGGATTATTTCGTCGGTCTCTCGGCCACCCCTGCCGCTGCTGCCATCTCTGCTCAGCTTCCTGTGGCGGCCACCAGATGGCAGGCAGGTCGCTCAATCACCGCTCGACTACCGCTAGCAGTGCCGTCTATTCCGACCTCAGCTGAGCTCAGGGCCAGGCGTTGTCAGTGGCGCCCTGTTGCGGCAGTCTCTGACCGCCGAATGGGGGGAAGCTGGGCACCGGAGAGGGGCGAGCCTGGGGGGAGAACTGGGAGGGCTGGAAGGAGGCTGAGTTGACGGAGGCCTGCTGGGACTGAAAGCCGGGCTGGCCGGGCCGGGAGCTCACGCTGCTGAAATCATGGCGCACCTGGACCCCAGACGCGCCGGGAGTCGGGTTCACGCCGGCCTGACCCTGTCCCACCCCGGGCGTCAGGCTGGGCGACATACCGCGGGCGATGTTCTGCAGAGCGCGCTGCGTCAGCTGATTCACAAACGAGTTGATGTCAGGCATCTGGATGAAGGGATAGCTGGGCCGATTGACGGCCTGGAACGAGCCGCCCGCGCCGCCGGCTCCAGTTAAACCAGGATTGGTGTGACCGAAGGAGCCAAAGGCAGGATTCGACACACCGGGAGATACAGGGACAGGGTTTGTCAGACCTGGTGTACCTGCGCCCGGAACAGCGGGGCCGGTGGCTCCCGGGACAGACTGGGCGCCCTGTGAAGGCGTCCCCGACCCGGCGGTTCCTGTCGGGAATCCAGCAGCACCACCGACCCCCGGCACCTGTTGAGCCGGGTCCTGCGCGCCACTGCCAAAGCCGCCTCGGACACCCAGGTCCGTCTGCGTGCCCTGAGCGGTGTTCCATGGTGTGTAGAAGCCTCCCTGCGCGCCGGGCTGCTGTCCAAAGGGTGCCCACGGGTACCCTCCGCCTATGTTGATGTGGAAGTTGGGATACTGAGCGAGGAGGCTGCGATAGGCCTCCTCAACTGCGTTCACGCCCGAAACCGGGGGCTGCTGTGTGCCGCCGTGGCCGCCGAGTGCTGGCTGTTGTGAGGGATCGGCCGTTCCGGGTTGGAAGGGGTCGGACTGGGCAGGGGCCTGGCCGCCAGCCCCCAGACCCGGCTCCGGCCCCTGCGCCGGCCCCTGCGCCGGTCTCTGCGCCGTCGGCCGGGCCGGCTGCCGCGGCGTGCCGAAGCCGAAGCGCACGCCCAGGCCGCCGTCGTCCCCGTCGGGCAGCACGTCTGTGGTGTGTGAGGTGTGCGTGCCGCGGTCCGCGGGCCGGCCGTTCTCCACGCTGCCCCAGGCTGAGGAGGACTGCTGGGTGACGGTGGTCTCCGCGCGCGCTGCTGCCGGCCAGGTGAGCAGCAGACAGCCGAGCAGCGCACCGCCTGCGGCGCACAGAGGGGTCACACGTCACACACCGGCGGCGTATACATCTGCCCTCACCTCTCAGCCCAATCACCTCAGAGTCACGCCAAATGCACGAGTATGGTCACGGAGACTCCAAAGGTCACCACCAAACATATTTCAGTACCTATTGCATTTACCGCGGTAGACCATTAACTTTTAACCCTCGTCCGCACATGGGGGGGGGGGGGGTGGTTGCCACCCCCCAGGCAGTCTTTCTGCTCTGCACTCAACATTTTTAGAGCTAGAAGGCTGATTTTTCGTATAGCTGCTTGTCTATCCTTTCTTGATGTCCACTGAAAATTTCAAGTTTCTGTGATTTTTGGTTTCGGAGATATGACCTTGTTTTTCAGGTCATGTCATGACCCAAATGGCCAATTCTCAACATCTTGCGTTTGCCATGGGCCTTGTGAGCTTTTGACACCCTGATTTCGGCCTTTTTTGCCAGTCTTACCTCCCACCTATCATGGAACATGTTGTTCGACGATGTACAGGGGTCAAGGTCAGGGTCAAGGTCAACCTAGGTCATCTAAGATAATTGCGTTTTAGGCAAGCTGAATTTACTTTTTGTGAAGTTTTTTGACTGCATTTTTGGTAAAAGCTTCTCAGATCATGATTTCATGTGATATGGACCCAAAAACAATCGGTGCACACATCAGTATACACACAGACACACACAGACATACAAACACATATAATTGACCTTGACCTAACTTGACCTGAAATGACCTCAGCAGCAAAATTCTGGTCGGATAGTGTGACAAAGAGGTTCTAGCTGGCTTGGCACCAGAAAACAGCATCGTCATCGGTATTTGATAAGCAGCGCACTTGATATCCAACGGTGACCCAAAACAGCAACATTTTTTAGTTTGACCTGACCTGGAAGGTCAATGACTGACCTGAGAAGGTAAAACTGGGTATCATTGGATTCGTCTCTTCCCAAAGAATCTTTTTGGTCTTTACTGCTAAGCTCTATCTCCAACAGGAACGAAATGGTGCGGGGGGGGGGGGGGGGGTGGCAACCACCCCCCCCCCCATGTGCGTTCTAGGATGGGAAAATGGCATGTGCGGGCGAGGGTTAATTGTGACACTCCGGAGTTTGAGTACTGGACCTCAAATTACTTAGTGTTCATGAGTGAATCACTGTTTTTAAAAAGTACTTATGGATGCTGATTAGCACAACATGAATTCCTAAATTGTGCTTAAGTTATATACCTTAAATACAACTTAATTTAAACGAATGGCAGCTTATAGCTGGTAAACAAGCGTGATCCGTAGCGCTATGCGCTGCCGTTTTCTTTATGTGAGAAAAATTGGAGGATCGTAAAAATAGCTCCAACCAATGTCCTGGCCTTAGAAAAAGCTGGCCGGGAAAGAGGTACAGCCTCGAGAATGTTCTCATTATGATCAGCTCGTCAATACGCATCGATTGATATGCATATTGACCTTGAGGTCAAGTGACTTTAGGTCAACCTTCAACCTTGACCTTTCGAGGCCAACATGTATATATTGATGCGGATTGACGAGTGGATTTCGACGGTAGGTGCTTATCAATTTTGATCTTGTCTGATTTGGTTCAAAAGTTATTCGTAAAAAACTCTGTTGCTCACGAGCGCCACTTTTGCTTTTTTTACCCCTGTGGCGTCATTTTGACCCCACCTAAGAATGACCAAATCGTAGAACATTGTTGTTGTTGACAGAAATTGTTGACACAAATTGTAGAACTTGTCCGTCTGTATCCGATTCCATTTACCGCCCGTTGCTAGCTTACTTCGTGATCAAGATCTAAGGGATGGGGCGAGGTGTGTGTGTGTGTGGGGGGGGGGGGGCAGGTATCCATCCTCCCTTTGTATGTACGGCTCTCGCGAGATTAACCCATTAATGCCGCTTGGGTCATATATGACCCAAAAGCAAAACCTTTATGATTTTTCTCAATGGAGGCAAGTGGCACTTTGAGGAACTTGTGCGTATGTTTTGTTGGATTTGTGAGTTCAGTGGCGAGCGTCGGAGCCGCATAAAACTTGTGTGAGCTCGTCCACTGAAGTTTCTGGAGCCAAAGACGACGGGACTGCACAGTCGCCGGTCACTAGCAATGGCGCGCCGCCCCAAAAAGCAATATTATATTATGTTTGCACCTTACTATCTGTTGAATGATCGTCCACCTGGCATTTAAATTTGTCTGAAAAAGGTATGATGTATATTTTTGCCCTTCTTGTCGCCATCGGATAACTTTTTTTCCTCGATAAATATCATTGGGTCATAAATGACCCAGCCGGCAATAGTGTTGTCAATTTTCTCGTATGTTGAATACAAGGGAAGCAACTGATGATTATACGATTACTTATTTCTGGGGGTTGTGATCAGATCCCAGTGGCGGATCCAAGGGAGGGGGGTCATATGGGTCACTTATGACCTCCCTTGGGGCCCGGGGGCACCACCGACCTATCAGGGGCACCACAGGCCTGACAGGGGCACCACAGACCTAGTGTTGCGATGTTGGGATATCATGAGCGGACTGGTCGTGCGGGGCCGTGACGAGGGGCGGGCCGGCGACTCGGCCGGCCGAGCGGTACCACGGGCCTGTCAGGGGTACCAAAGGCTTGTTAGGGGCACCACAGGCCTGCAGGAGCACCATCGGCCTAGCAAGAGCACCACAGGTCTGCCAGGGGGCACCACAGACCTGCCAGGGGCACCAGAGACCTGCCAGGGGCACCAGAGACCTCACAGGGGCACCACCAGCCTCGCACGTGCACCTTGGGCCTGTAAGGGCTCCACGGGCCTGTCGGGAGCACTTCAGGCTTGTCAGGGGCACCACAGTCCTGCCAGGACCCAGGGGCACCAGCGGCCTAGCAGGGGCACCACAGGCCTCCAGGGGCACCACAGCCCTAGCAATGGCACCGCAGGCCTGTCAGGGGCTCCACAAGCCTGTCAGGGGCACCTCAGGCTTGTCAGGGCCCAGGGACACCACAGGCCTCTCAGGCCTATGGTGCCCCTGACAGTGTCAAGAGCGCCAGAGGCCCAGCAGGGGCACCACAGGCCTGCCACCGGCACCAACGGCCTCGCCAATTTGACGTTGCAAAGCATTGCAATGCAGTGCCTCTTAATATTGTTTGGCTGAAACCGCTATACAGTATACACAAGAAGGTATCTAGCTAATCGGTGGAGCCAACAAATAACTAAATGTACTTACTTTTATTGACGTTTCGGTTTCAAACAACCTTCGTCAGAATAGAATTACAAGTTACGTCTCATATTTCAAAAATGCACATATTTCAAACACACTGAGAACGATTGTTCTCTGCCACCGGCAGAGAACAATCGTGTGAGGTTCTCAGTGTGTTTGAAATATGTGCATTTTTGAAATATGAGACGTAACTTGTAATTCTATTCTGACGAAGGTTGTTTGAAACCGAAACGTCAATAAAAGTAAGTACATTTAGTTATTTGTTGGCTCCACCGATAACCTCATAACACAAATATGTCCCTAAATAATCAGTATCTAGCTAAATCGGTTTTCGTGATAACTCCTTATTTGTGACTATACTAATGCCGGTTGGGTCATTTATGACCCATGCTTATAACTTGAGAACCGATGGAATATTTTTTTTAAGCTTGCACAGTTTTCTTACTGGGACCCGTGTGGCTAACATTTGTTAAGGGCAACTTAAGAATCAAAAAATAAAAATTCCGGCATTAATGGGTTAAGCGGTAGGTTTTGCACTTTAACATTTCCGGTTTTATCTCAGAAACCAATCGATCTACGATGAAGCCATTTTAAACGATCATGGCCGGCTTGTGAACCAACAAGTCGATCGCATCTTCAACACTTAAAAGCTCAGGACGACGAAGATATAGCCAGAAGTAGGTACACTAAATTTTATAGGTGCAAAACCTACCGCTAAAATCCGCGAGACCAGCTGTATCTAGGTGCGCAGTGGGTGCGGAAAGCCGCAGGTGCGGGTTTCAAACGACTAAAGGCCAGGGCGCTTTGACAACAGAAACACCATGACACCAAAAGGAAGGGAAACTTGCATGTGCTTGAGAATCATCCTTACAGGATATAGTTTACTTTTAACATGGGGTTTTGAACTGGAATAGCAGCTTCGTAGCTTGAACTGAGGCTAGCATTAACCTTCGCCCTAGTGGGGGGGGGGGGGGGCATATGTATAAACCCTGCATAAAGCCTGTCGCGTTTTTTTTTTGCGTGTGAATAAAAAACCGCGGCGCATAGCGCCGTGCCGCTTGGGGTAGCTTTTGGTACATCAATTTTGGACAATGTGTGAATTTTTTACCCCAGGTCAGGTCAGGTCAGGTCACCAGGTCAAGTTAACTAATCAAGCCTAAAAAAGTTTGCAATCATGTCCAGCCTGCAGTATTTGTCAGAAAGGTTTTAAACTTGGTGGACTGCATGATGTTATGGGCGCTTATAATTTGTATTTTGTATATCTCGGATTTTTTTTATATCATATCCGTGACCTAAGGTCAGGTCAGTGGCGTGACCTTTCCATTACAAGTCAATGGAGAAAAATGAAAATGCCTCTAGATCCGTGTGTACGCATAGGAACAGTCCAAATATTTCAGAATCACAATGATTTGGGGCACCCGTGATGTCCAATGTGTTATTTTTGCTGATAGCCTCTAGAAAGGTCATCCGAGGTCATTTGAGGCTACAAACATATTTTTGCCAATAACTCGCGGTTGGAAAGAGATAGAACGCTGGGGATGGTCTCATTGTGTTTGTCTTGTTGAGACGCATCGACTGATATGCAACATGACCTTTTCCGGTCAGGTCATGACCTTGACCTGAGGTCAAATTGTCAAGTTGACCTTTCAAGGTCAAATTATAGTTCATTCGACGCGTCTTGGCGAGAGGAACACGATTCTGGCAATAGAAATGTTGTGACTTTTTGTAGTCGAAAGTTATTGTCGAAAAAGACTTCGTAAAAACAGCTATTTTTGGAGTTTTTGCCCTCTGGAGGCTAAACCGTTGAACTGAGGTCAATTTTGATGATGACCTTATCAAAAGAAGAGTGCAAAAGCTATCGATTGCTTTTCCATGCGTTCTTCTAGCTACCATAGTTCCTGAGATAACGGCATGTTTTCTGAAAAATATAATAAACATTGGCAAATTTTGACCTTTGATGACCTCTGGTGACCGCAATATTGCTATAAGATGAAAAATGACTGAAATACTTTCTAACGTACGCATTGAGAGCTATCGACTGCTTTTTACCACGTCTTTCTAGCCCTCATAGTTTTTGAGTTAGAGGTGGGTGGTAACATATGCCCCTCCCCCCCCACTAGGGCGAAGTTGGCTGAGACCGCCACTGGGGCGCGGGTTAATCAGGAGCTTTTACGGCCCAACAATCACTCGAAGAATCTAGGCGTTTCAGGCGTTTTCACTCAGTCATTTCAGGTAATGAAGGAAGCACAATGTGTACGCACACCTGCGGCGGGCGAATAAAAGTGTAGACAAACCGGGTATGCTTTATAACTCGCGCCGTGCTGAAGGGGGGGGGGGGCGCTTTTACGTCCCTTCCCCCAGGGTTTTCGCGAATATAAAAAAAAAACGGAGGTGCATTGTTCGTACATCATTTCCGCACATGAGGTGAAAATTTCAGACCCAGGTCTCTCAGGGTCAGGTCACCGGGTCACGTCAAGTGACCGTACCTCATAAAAAGTTCAAAGGCTCGCTATAGCTACACAGACTGAGCGATCACTTTGAAACTTTCAGCGATTGATAATATGAGTAGTATGCATAAAATTTTAATCGCAGATTTCAATCTTTGGTATCTGCTACCTAAGGTCAGGTCAGTTGTGCGACCTCTCCATTACAAGTCAATGGGAGAAAATTGAAATGCGCCTCTTTTGGACGAATGTCGTTCAAACCGCTCTCAATCATTAGTTTATAGGCAAAGATGACACACTGAATCGGGAAAATGCACCTGTGGCCCCTCTGTGTGCCCTTGAGGTCACCTCAGGTCATGAACGGTCACCAGCAGTTTATATTTATTTTTGCTATAACTTTTGATAGAGACGTGCTAGAGCGGTAAAAACACGTCAGATGTGTTCAGCGCGACTATACGGATCGACTGATATGCAAAATAACCCTTACTGGTCAGATCATGACCTGGACCTGAGGTGAAATTTACAAAATGACCTTTCAAGGACACCAAATAGTTCATTTGACGCGTCTCGACGAGAGGAACACGCTGCTGTCAAAAGTAATGTCGTTGCGTTGTTAAGTAAAACGTTTTCGCCGAAAAAAAAAAGAACTTTTTTTCGTGAAAATGTCAATTTTTACAGTTTTTGCCCTCTGGAGGCTAAATCATTGAATGAGGCCAAATCTGAGAGCAATAATCAGAAAGGTATGTAAAAGGGCTCTCCAATGCGCTTTTCTGCGACGATGTAGCTCTATTGGTTCCCGAGTTAGCCGTGAGCAGTTTCCAAAAATATTGAATTTGGCTAGATCTGACCTTTGATGACCTCCGTCGACCTGACTTTTGACCTGAACTAAAAAATGACTTAATTGTTTCCGTCATCATTTGTGACGCTTTTTCAATCGCCGCTTACCGCGTGTCGCTGCGTGGCCCAGGAGCCGAGTCAGAGGGGGCGTGAAAACTCCCTCCCCCTGCACGACACGGAAAACACAGGCCATCAGCACTGCGCGGGTTAAAACAGCGGTTCTAAAAAAACGAGATATTTACTTTACATTAATGCCCCTGCTAGGTCATAGCTGCAATATAGTTAGGTACCAATCGTAAAAACATATTTCAATAAACATAAACGAGATGTGATTATCAAGGTGTAAAAAAGAAAGGCAGAATTAGATACATAGCTGCACAATGGAGAGGCAATGGCATTCAGGGCCATTGTTGGCTGTTCGTTTCGCTCACCTATAAGACGTGTCATGGTCTCGAAGCTCCCACTTCTCTCGTTATAGTCGCCTGGTCAGTGGCTGAGATGGTTGGGTGTCGGCGTGCGGCGGCAGCTCCCTGGTGCCTGCAGCTACTCCGGTACGACTGATATGGGACGCCTGGGGCCAAACACTCGCCCAGACGTCATCTGAAACGTCATGGGGCAACAGGGTCCCGGGCAGCCTCATCCGTCAGGGCCACTGATGAATTTCCACCGCGCAACTTCCCCTGACCCCCCCCCCCCCATCCGTCATCGCTGCGCAGCGCCCCAGTAAACAGGCGCACCCTCAGTGGTCTGCGCAGCGCTGTGTGCCGAGCTGTCTCAGGCGGTGTCGTTTGAGCCAGTGACGTCAGCCAGATAACCAGTGACGTCACCACATGGTAATTTGGGCGCTACTGGATACGGCACGGCCGCAGGTGGCGACCGGGGGAGGGCCGCCGAATGGTGGGGGTCTGGTGTGCCGCTGGATCTGGTTCGACAAATATTTCACCAAATGATGCCAGATGGTACCTTGCTAACTGATTGTACGATCATACACGGGTTGCAGCTCAGAGGATTTGTTTATGAATTGCAAACATTGTAAACACACTCTTAATGACATGCTAGGCAAATTAAATGAATTTTCAAATAAAAAATGACTGTTTACTTGCGTCACATACACCAGAAGTGTGGAAAAAAACGCGTTAATCATCAACTTGATGAATGATGATTATCGTAAGCGACGTCAAAAATTGTAAACGTAAACGTTTATTATAGCAGATCATAATAATAAAGTAGATACGTTGTTTGAGCCTACAAATGTCAGCCGCGGATATACGATCCATGTAGAAAGATTGGAATGTCCAATAGGCATAGTGGCAGTGCCTGTTGCTGAACCCGGAGGCAGTTTGTTCAGCTGACCCGCCGACCCGGCTGACCCGCCGACCCAGTCGTCACGTGACCCAGTCTCGGTAGACAGTGCCAGTCTCGCTATGTAGACAATGTGTAGTTTCTATGGCCTTGGACAGTGCCGTTCATTAGCGTTTGTTGCCGTGATCGTTGATATCCGTATTTGTTGAAGGCCGTGTGCGAGTGCTTGTGTGTCCTCGGCGATTGAATCGTTTCATACGACCCGCCTCCTCTCACGTAGGTACCTTCAGTTCGATAATTTGTTAAGTTTTTTTTTGTGTTTGATGAATATTTGCCTTGCTCTCGTGACTATTTATGACATTTGTCACGCCATCACTAAGCAGCGCCATCCTTGATGCAGAGGCCCATTCATCCAGTTGACCTTGAATTGCACTGCATGGTGATTGGAACATTAATTGCTCTGTGGTTGCATGACCTCATCCTTTCTTAGGATAAACAGGAAGTTTTATATCATTCCACGGTTCTTACAAATGATAGTCTCTGAAATGCCTGCAATGCCAATGGATGACATTTAATTAATTAAAATGCTTTTCTACAGCCCACAAGTACCTGTAGTTATTGTGCGCCCTAATCTCAGTTATTGAATCATTAGTTTGAGGTCAATGTCGCCTCAGGTCAGGTCAGCATAGGTCACGATAGGTCGCCTCGTAGGTCCCCGCGTAGGTATGCGACACATGACTCAAGGATTATTTTTCACGCTGGATTCGATGGTTATATTCATATCCCTCCCAAACTCACTTGGCCGATGTCTAGCCTTACGAGAATACCTATGACGTCATCATAACATAACAATATACCACATACATGCTGGACGCGGAGCTATTTTTTACCATTCGAAGATCAAAAAGTATGATGGAAAGCTGAAATGTAGCACATAATATGTACCTACATATAGAGCTCCCTAAAAAATTTTTTTTCATTAAGATCTTCGATTTACCATGTCTAAAAGTCAGTTCTTTTCTTCTCATTTTAAATTTTACGAACCATTGTTTGGATAACCTGAGATAACCATTGTGAAAACTCATGTTTGCACGACGCACGTCCTCTTATGTTATTGATTTGTATTTCGTTTGTAAGCTCGATTTTTGGCGTTTTTCCAAGTATTTACCTTTATATGAAAGCAATGTGGTGTGGTTGGGTCACTCAAAAATGTGCATATCCAAAAAAAACTTGGATCAAATTAGGGAACACTTTACAAAACACGTCAAACTGACGTAGGAGAAGGTGTGACAAGAGTTGTAGCTTAAACGGTTCATGAGCTAGCTGTTCCATGAAGAATCGATAAACCTGCGTCCTGTTCTGCGCCGTTCCCAATCCTACATCGTGTAATTCAGGCTACCCGTATGACGTTTCCGTCGGTGAAGGCACTGCGCGTCATTCTCGGCGTATCGTGACATTTCGTCTTTTGACGTCTGAGCTGTGGCACGTTGAGCTCGTGCAGAGCGGATCGGAGCCCCCCCCCCCCCACCACCACACCGAACCGGTCCTCGGGCGGGGATTGGGAGGAGGAGGGGGTGGGGGCGGCGCTCGTCTCGGCGGCACCCACTACCGGGAACCAGTGGCCGCAGACACGGGAAGTCCGACCCGCCGCGTGCGCCGCAGCCGTGGAGCCTATGATCACAATCCACAACACGGCTGACTAAGCACGGAAACACTGCTCGCCTCGGTGCGCGCAGGATTAACCAAAACACACTTGAAAAGATAAGATGCAGCTTGAAGTGAATAATTTCAGTTTGTTTGACAAAAGAGTTAAGCCCTCGCCGACCGACAGGCACAGCAGCGAGTGGGTTTACCCCCTCAGCCAGAGAGCCTCGCGGCCACCCGATAGGTGGGTGGGTGTGTATGAAAAAGCTTTAGGCCCGGCGTAGGTTGAATTTGTGAAAAAGGGCACTTTAACCATTGCCTTTATAGGGGGTCGAGCAGACATCTCTCGCTCTCGCTTTTTCCCCGCAAAACTTCCGCAGAAAGCGGCCGAGTGCGACGGAAGTTTCAGTATGAGCTTATCAATCAAGACATTTCCCTATAAACGCTGTAAAAAAAGAAATACGGGTTAGGGTTGACGATGCCAGGTGAAGACTTCAAAGGAAGAAAACGTTCTTTTTTCTTCATAAACGAAGCTCAGCCACGAATTTGTGTCACCAAACTGCATCGTTACTCTGTATTCTGTAACGTGACCAGTGTTATTGAACACAGGTCATTTCGGTCGAACCGGCTCTGAAAAAGAAACTGAATCACCGAATAGGCTCATACCATTTTACCACTCGCTCAGGAGACGGACACGTTCTGCGCCAGACTTCCGGAGAGGAACGTCTAGTGGTGATACGTTCCAAAATCACCGATGGCCTTTTAGCCCATGTCCTCCGCTCTGGACTGGCTGGGGAGGTGGGGGAGGGGGCAGACTGCCGATATCTCTCTGGGCGTCCGTCGCATATACATTATACAAACATTGCAAACGCATACCCACGGGCCCTTGCAGATTCGCCCAGCCTGCGCGGCGAGCCACACAGCCGCTATCAGGGTTCAGAAGTGGCCAATACCCTATTTTTCGACAAATTTTAAAGCGTGCTTTTCTCACATTTTCTGTTCGTAAATTGATCAGACTGTATAAAATATCATCTAGAAAAAAATATTACTCATTCTGGCACAGATTGGTGGGCTCCCAAAGTACACCGTTTTGTTTTGCTCCGTGAGACCGAACTTGTGCTGCGATTTTCATGTAAATGTTGACGAGTCTCCTGTCATATTCTTTGCTTGAAAATGCGTAAGTAAGATATCAGCTGAAAGGGGAAAATGTGAGGAATCTATTGGTAACAAAAGTGCATCTAAAAAACTTCCCAATCAGTTATTGTAAGCTAATTGTTGCACACTTGCACAAAGCAGAAGGGCTTGAGGATTTCAATATTTACATAGGCCTACCAAAAAACGCACAACGTGCTTCACATCGAGACAACGTCCATAACATATACCGTACAATTGTGATTCATTTGCTGAAAAAATTAGGTCGGCATCACACTGCCGGCAAAAGTTATTGCAGTTCTAGTGACGCTAGGTCGTCACCCGGCCGACCCCGGTCAGGTCGGCCGGGCGGCGGCCGTGCAGCTGACGTCTGTGCGGTTCGGCAGCTGACCAATCAGCTGCGAGAGAGGAGCGCGGTCCTTCTAATCGCCCCCGGCAGTTACTTGTGCGGAAGGGTGTTCGACGCTCGTGTCGATTGCATTTGTTGGTTGTCGATTGTCGATTGACTTGTGGGTATACTTTTTGGTGACCAATAGATGTACGTCGTCTTAACTGAATGTAGTTCGATCAAATTCAATAAAGCAAAAAGACATCCAGCCAACAGAACATCGTGAGAATGTCCGATATGGTTGATAACATTCAGAGTTTTGGGGAGCAGCCATCGACCAGAATGAACCTTATTGGCTTTTGTATGTAACATTTGCATTGCTTTTGGAAAGTTTCAGTCAGATATCTTCAGAAATGGCAATGTTATCGGCTTTTGCATTTACCGTAGTCGGTTAATCACAATTTTCGATATTGCAAAGGCAATTTCAGTACGTTCTTGACATCGAAAACCAAAACGAATAGCATCATCGTGTTCCAGAGCTCAAATTGCATCCGATGCACATCTTTTTTGTTGAGAATGTTCAACTTCAAAATTTGACCCTTTTGACCTCGCCGTGACCTGACCTTCATTTGTCGAAAGGAAATAGTTTCGAATCGGACGACCCAGATGACATCATTTTTAGATGCTTTTGCCGAAATGGACCATTAAAGATGTGTCGCATGACCTTAAAAATGTATACATTTCCTTCCATGACCTTTTCCATGACCTTTTGTGACCCATGACCTTTCCATGACCTTTTGTGACAAAGTTAGGTTTCGTTTGTCAGCTATTCCTATCAGAAGCCGTTTGAATTTTTAGTATTGAACGAGTAGTTTCGAAGACAGCATGGGGAAGCTATGCAGAATCCCCTCCCGAGTCACCCGTTATGGGATATACCAGTTATCCGCGGATTACAAGCAAAAATATTTTTACGGCAACGCTGGATCAGCAGGATGCTCATACGTTTCCATACGTGACCTTAAGGTTTACTTCACATATAATAAAAATTCCTTGGCAAAATGTCAACTGGTTAACGAGTTATCGCATTTTGGCCACTTCCGAACTCAAATAGCGGCTGTGTGCGAGCGAGCATCATGAAAGGTCCTGTCGCGATGTAGAGCACCCCTTCCCCCTTTCCCCGGGAGTGCTGAATGCTGGTTCGTCCAGCTGCACGAGTCACATGATCCATACTGAGGAGCCAACGGCGGCGCAAATCGCACCTCTGCCAGTCGCCGCGTCCGCTCAGCTAATGCGCCACAGCTCCCATTCACCGGCCATTCTCCGGCCGCTCAGCTGATTTGCCGTTCTGCAATGCAGGTCGGGGCAAACCGTGACGTCAGACAGTTGCTGCTGAGTGACTGCTCCAGGAACTTTCTCCACCCAGCCGGGGGTGATCACGATTGCTCCAGTCGAGAACGCTAGGTACTAAATGGGACCCATAGAGGTCGGTGAATGTGATCTGTATGTGCCGGACGACCTGGTTTGACAACTACTAAGTCGCTGCACTTCTATAGCGCTGTGTTGTCAGCGACTCAGCATGCGTGGCTATTTTTATCTTCTCATCTCACTTCCAGTAGTTGTCCGTTCGTCCGTTCGTCCGTCCGTCTGTCCGTCTGTCCGTCCGTCCGTCCGTCCGCCTGTCTGTCTGTCTGTCTGTCTGTCTGTCTGTCTATCTGTCTGTCTGTCTGTCTGTCTGTCTGTCTGTCTGTCTGTCTGTCTGTCTGACTATCTGTCTGTCTGTCTGTCTGTCTGTCTGTCTGTTTGTCTGTCTGTCTGTCTGTCTGTCTGTCTGTCTGTCTGACTATCTGTCTGTCGTCTGTCTGTCTGTCTGTCTGTCTGTCTGTCTGTCTGTCTGTCTGTCTGTCTGTCTGTCTGTCTGTCTGTCTATCTGTCTGTCTATCTGTCTGTCTGTCTGTGTGTCTGTGTGTCTGT